CTGGTTCCCCATCTCTGCACGCTTCCATTTGTTTAGAATGTTGAGTCCAATTCTTCCCTTCTGTATTTGGCTGTGATATCTGGCCAAAGACACTCGCCACCACCTGTAGCTACACGCGCCTCTGTGATCACAAAATGAAGGGGCATTGTTACCGTAAGCACTGCTTTCTAAGGCCACAGTTAATTGCAAATAATTATCATGATGGCATTTCATTTTAATAACAATAATCCCCTTCTTCAATTGTTGGTGCGGGCACAGTGCAGAGCTAAAGTCATTGAAGGAGGTTTTATCATTATCACCTCCATCAGGTAATGTGATCAGCTGCGGTTTCTCTTGGTCTGACGCTCAAAAAGTTGAAGGGGCATATTCAGGAAAACGCTGTAATAGCATAATGAGATTTTTATTATTATAATTCAGAATTTGTTATGAAATATTTTGCGTTGCTCATGGCTGTATTACCTGTAGAGCAGAGTGGGGTAAGGGGGTGACAAGGCTCAGCACTTGTCCGTGTGCACAGCTTACGCTCAGGGGGAGTATGTCCATCTCCTTACATGTGTGCAAAGTTGATAGCTCATCATGACATTGGAGCAAACGGATTTATCATGCTCGGTATTGGACGTGCAGACAGAAAAATATAGTTTGCGATGTGATTTGGTGAAAGGTTAGGTTAGGTTAGGTTAATTTATTTGTACCCGTGGGTAAATTCGTTTTGCAAAATTTTGAAATGATGCGGTTATTCTGTTGAGTCAAACGTGATGTTGCAGAGACAGCTCCTGTTTTCACCATAAGTATTCTGGCTCAATCACAAAGTTACACCACTGGTCAGGTGTTTGGAAGGCCGTTAATAAAACAGTTTGCTTCACCTCATTTTTATACTCGTTTTCCACAAGAGCTCACCTTTTTCGCTGCTGTTCTTTAGTCTAGTGTTCACCATCTGGGGTATTCGTCCCCCTGGTGGTATGTTGGGGTATTGCATGGGGAACTTGAAACGATTTTCATGGTGCTGCTATTAATAACACTAAGGCCTGTTATTGCAAACGGATTTCTTACTTTCTTACCTTTCCTTTTGGTCCAGTTTTTGTTTAATCCATGGATATTTTTATCTTACTCTTTGTGCATCGTCTATCCTGCAAGGGGGTATGCAGAGGAAAAAGAGGTAGGGAATCTCTGCTTAAATCCGTCAAACTTTGTTCCACATCTGATACAAGTAGACCTGGACTGCGGGCCAAACACGGTCCATGTCCTCTGGGTCTCTGTCCTGGACTCTTTTCACTGCCCGTCTTTCCCAAAGCGTCAGATTGATGATGACCTAAACAACGTCACAGTTCTCCTCAGATCTTAGCCGAGTTTACACAAGGTTCTGGAAGGATCATCTCCGGATCCGAAAAGTGGGCGTGATTGTGTAGAAATGATAGTAGATAATGATAGAAAACAAAAGGCCTTAGATTCTCGTATGTTGTAAATGGTAGGACGCTGCACTGCGGTGAATGGGCGTTTCCTGACCTTTTATTAAAAGTCTGATTGTTTGAACATTATTGAGATTACAACTGTTTGAAAGTCTCATCTTTAACAAACAAAAGAACACAAAATGATAATTAGAAAAGTGAAAGAATATAATCACCTTTGCGCCCACCATATCCAATAGCCCCAGTCACTTCCTCTAACACCATGAAGAGCTCCCCACCATCAGATGATTAGATCGGAATGATTAGATAATTGGATAGAACATTGGCTGGTACAAGGGCTGCATGCACTACACGATTTTCTGCAGATAGTTGGCACTAATTAACCACAAGTGTTGACTTCACCGATGCTTCTGGAGATTGGAGCCTTTGAATAGAAAGTGACAACAACCAAAACATGGTCGCACTGTGTGTGGGTGCGACAGACAAATGACGAACGGAAGAAAAAGCAGCGCTGCTACTTGTGAGAATTTGAAATATTACATTTGTTCCCTAATGAAGTAGTGAAAGAAGACCCCTTTAGCAGATTGCATTGGCACATAGCTATTTGGACTTTTCAGATATGCATGTGTGTAAGCATGGCAGACCACTTCACTTCTTATCTTAAAGCAGAAGAACACAGATGCTGCTGGGAAGACTGCTTTACAATGTTTACAGTAGTTATTATTATAGTATTGATACATATATTTTATGTACAGTTCACAGTAAAAAATCCACAGGAACCAGGCAAACACAAGAGAACTGCCATGTCAAAATAAAACTAGGAAAAGCAGAATCCACATCATGACAAGCATATACCCTTTAAAACACCTGCTTTTGCCCCAGGCCCTTCTTCATTGATAATTTGTCATCCAACATACACTTTTACTCCTCTTCTTGCTGTCTCCGCGCTGCACTCGTGATCACTACTCTGCATGTCATTCACCCACAGCAATAACGGCATAATGAAAGTGTGCGTTTTGACTCGTAATCAGATTGCAAACGGGGAATGAGATTTGGGCCTGGATTCAGACAGCCGTAGGTCAGCTGTTCAAATTGCAATATACAGGAGATCACCTACGTCTCTGTATCTGCATGTTTTCCGTAACAAGTCCTTTTCATTTCCCAGGCAGCTGATTGGACTGGCGATGGCGGCTCCCTGACTTCCAATCTATTTAACGCGGCATGTAGATATGATAATGCTTGTGTGAGTTATTGTCATATGAAAGAGGTGCAACATTTTTACCTAGAATGGAAAATCTGTCCACAACGTCTGGCGCTGACCCGTTCTAGAGGTCTGCCCCGGTGCTCTGTCTTTGCTTCAGGCCACCCACTGTTTTAATCTTTAACTACTTTAATAACTTTGGCTATTTTTGGGGCACACGTTGCTTTCTTGTGCTATAGGGTTCACAGTTATTGTACGTCTTTTTGTGTGGGTAGAGAAGCTCAAACATTTACTCTCATAAAAGCTTTTCTGCGAATAGTCAGTTTGCATTGACCGTCATTGACCACAGACAATTAAAGAATACTTTCTTCTTTAAATGAGGACTGGCCTGAATGAAGATTGCAAAGGCAGGGCGGGTAGGTCGCATGACATGTGCGCACTTCCCCCTTCGCTTGTGTGCTCGAGCTGATTTCATCCTCCACGCCGTTTTCTGTACGGGCCGTGGCTGACACGCATCAAGACAGAAGCCGGTCAAATCACGTGTGCAAACGTGCCGGCCGCTCACCCTGCCACCCTGACAGTGCATCCCCAATAGAAAGAACAGAAAGCGCCCAAGAGACCATGGTTAGACTCGAGTGGACAGTGGTAAATGAGATATGAGTGTTTTAGAAAAATAATATGAACACTTAAGCAGCTGTGATATTTACAGTATGAGAAACACTACACAACTGTACTGTACATTTTGTGGCAGATTATGTTTAAACTGATTCTTTAAGTCTATATTTCTGACCAAAATGTTTTTAATAAACATTAATAAACATTGAGCTAAGCATGTAGCTCAAACCATTCACAAATACTATCCCATAACAAAACCAGAGTAAACCAGTGAATAATAATAAATACTGAATATTTGGAGGACTGGTCGTGGGCTTTGTGAACGGCTTTGTGGGCCTGATCTGCTCAAAACCCTACAATTAGGTAAAATCGTCTTATTTTTATACTTCTTTGTCTGCATCTTTAAACAGCTCCCAAAAAGCCAAATCAGGCTTGTGCTAAGTGTCTAAGTTTCAATGCCAAATTGACTCTTTTTTTTTTTTTTTTCCCACTCTTGCTTTTTGAGTGCGAAATGACCAACGCACAACAGACTGCTAGTGAACAACTGCGTGACAGATCTGGGCGGTGAGCTCATATTTTCTGCTCCATTTCACAGTCTGTCATATCAGGTGTCATGGTGATTCCCAGCATCAGCCCGGCAGAAGCGGACCAATCTGTTTGTCTTTTCCACCAATAACACAACAGTCGCGGCAATAAATTCTCCTTTTTTCCCTGTCAAATCGATACAGCTGGTCTTTAATGTGGATCGCCTCTGCACCTACTTCATTTCAGGGCAGTAATTAAGGGCCATTGAGATCGGTGGCCTCCGCTGCCCCCGATACAAGTGGGTTTGCTCTAATTGCCTAATATGGCCTGGAAGAAAAGTAATAACAGTTGATTGGTCAATAAAGCTAAATTGTCAGGGAAAGGGCAATTAGTATGAGTGATATGTATAAGTATTCAACATGAAACCACTTTTAGATCTCAAATATAATGTTGATATTATCTAAAAATTATTATTGTGTTTATATTTTTACACTAACTGAGAATACACTAAATGGTACTGTTTTTCTGAAAATCAGCATTTGTTCAAGAGGTCCAGATTCATCCCGGTTCTAGTTCTTCTAATTCTTTTGGCATGAACTTCTTACAGTATGTGCATTTCCATCAATGGCCTCATAATGAATTGATTATTGTTTGAATTATGCAAAATGTAACTCAATTTTAATACAGTGGCTTGGAAAAGTATGAATAAAACTTGATATTCAGCCAATTTTAACAGGCAGCTGTGGAGTGTCTTGTGCAAGTGCAATACAGCATGATTCAATACTTCTTGCAACCAAAGTGAAGAATAACTTTGGCTTTTCATTAGGAAATACAATGTGAGAGGTATGAATACATGTGCAAGGCCCTTTAAGTTTATTCTACAAAATCATGTATAATTTTGCTTTCACTTCATAGTTGTCTGTAACTTGTGGTAAAGTCTTTCAGGAAAACAGCAAATTCAATAGAAAATCTTTGTATGTGGTCATAATGTTAGGACTTGATGTCTTAAAACAATATTTGCGGATTGAGCAGGCCTCGTCTGTCTTACCGCAAACACTGTAGAATACTGTTTCTGATTTCTGATTAACTGAGAGTCAGTCGTAAACAGTACGTTTTATGCTTGTTTGTGAACACATCCACATACAAACTATACTTCCGTCAAGCACTAATCACTTTTTTTTTGCACAGGAAAAAAAAAAAAGTCTATGTGTCTATCCCCAGTGTCCGTAACTGCCTTCTCTGTCTGTCCGTAGTGTATTCTGGGATCTGTACTGCGCTGCCCCAGACCGGAGGGAGACATGCGAACATTCCAGCGAGGCCAAGGCTTTCCATGACTATGTGAGTGAACTGCTGCAGCCGTCACCTCCCGCTCTGTTTTGGCCACTGCGGTCCCCAAACGTCATTCACACACTGTCATTCGCACATGCATGTATGGCCTCACATCTGCCGGAGATAGTGCTGCTGCTTCTTGTTTTGACATGTTTGTGGATTTCAATTAGTCTGCGAGTGTCTGAAATAGCCTGCTCCAATAACCTTTGACCGATTGCTGTTTGATGCATTGGGAAGTGAACAGTAGAAATGGATAAACATGTATTATAGGATAGGAGAGATGAGGATTTTGTCCATCTTGTGGTTCAAGTGTGATATTGCAAATAGATGTTGTAAATAGATAGAGCTGGATAATCCCCTCCCAAAACGCATAGTTTGATTGATTCCCCTTATTTAAAACAACTTTAAAACAGCTACTATACTTTTTAACCTTAATATCACATGTCATGTTTTTGAGGAATAAACACAAAATTTGATGTAGGATAGCCACAAACACATGATTTATAATTATGGCAACCTATGGTGTAACCTGGACTGGTGGCCGCACTTCCTCAGACACTGACCTACGGCTGCACAGGTCTGAGTGGACGATCAGTCTGCAGTGAAAGGCCATGACAGAAACTGGAGATTTATTGGCCCTCTCCACCAAGGGTCAAGGCACATAAAGCAGCTGGCCACTACACCAACATTTGTCCAAACGCCTAATGGTAACTTCATACATGTGTCCGGAGGTCCAGACGGTTGTTGTAGCTGAGCTGGGTTTGGAAAGGTGTCCGGTCAGTGGCCTGGTTGTGACCCTTTGATCTTCTCAGGGGCCTGGGCAGTCAATCATCCGCCTGAGGGTTCGACTATATGGATGACATTTCCAACTGCCGTTTTTCAGAAACATTGCAAATAATAATCACTATGGTGCAGCTCTAACGTTTCTTTTATTTCTTAAAAATCAGCCGGTTTGTTCATAATGAGACTAGACAGACAAGGCTCAGACAGGCGGGTGTAAGAATGCTTGTGTAATGCTCGTAAATGCAGACTGTTATGTTAATGCAGATATTTGCAAAGCAGTGAGTTTATTCAATGGGTTTGATAACCTTTCTGCTATCAGGCCTTTGGACATGTCTGACCTTGTGATTTAGGATGTTATTGGTGATGTTTCTTTCACACATTTGATGCTTCAAATGTCTTCTCAGATAACCATTGGCCTGATGAAAGGCCTGGTCACCAAAACGTTGCCACGCCTGAATTATTACTCACCATTAAGCAAGCTTAAGACTGCGTGAGAACTGCACAATTTTGGCAAAATCTCTAATTGCAAGTTTTTTCTTCCAAGAGAAAAACTAGTTCACCCAGTCTGTGAAGGTCTAGCCTTTGTGAGTAATAACAAAGATGAAGCTGCAAAATGTTTAAAAGACGTCTTGACAAATCACTTGTCCTGTCAAACTTAAGCGACCACTACAGTACTTCACTAAGTATGATTAATATTAAATTGCCTAATCTTCATTTAGGTAAAAATATACTCAATTCATTTAAATCTCCACAGATTTCAGATACACTGAAATTGTGTGGATATTTTTGGACACTGAAAATTGTACACATTAGGAAGCTACACTGTGTAAAGATCATAAGATGGAACTTACTATCCATAATTCAAGCATGTTTTTGCACAATCGTAAACCACTAAACACTACATTGTCATTTAGATTCCAATTCATCTTGTGGTTTTGGAGTGATCAATTCAACGCGCCTGTATCATAGAGTTAAGTGAGGTGGGCTGCGAACGCTCCAAATCACCATGCCTCTACAACAGCCATCCCTCTGCTGTAATAAATCCATAAAGTGTGTCCGATTTACTCTGTGAAGTGTCTCAATGACTACATCGGCTGGCCCTGGGCTGGAGACTGTACTTTAGGAAGGCGATGATGATTGCACCTGGCAAAAAGTAGAACTCAAAATGAATTACCGCACTACTCTTACATTTCATTCAGACCAGTGTGGCCCGTAGCCTTCGCCCATTCAGCTGCTCCCTCATGAAGCCTGACACCCACCGAGCACGCACACATTGCATTTGTTGGGAGTGGCAGACATGTGTGACTGCATGTGTCGGACCGCCGTACGATTAATTACATGCTTAATTAAACTGGGTAGTTAATTAAATCTGACAACTGTGTCTAATTAATCTAAATGCCATATAATTTCCTACACCTTTCTCCAGAGGTAGGCCAGCTGGATACCGGCGTGTCAGCTCTTAAATGGCACTGATTTGACAGCTTTGGACAATATGAACACTGAATTATGGTCTGCCACTAGAGCCCTTTTACACTGAAAACTAGCAAGTATTTTAAAACGATTAAATGGGGCTGCAAGATTATTCACAATCAAAATCACAATTTCAGTGGTCACAAGAAGCAATTCGCAAAGATACGTGAAATTGCTTACATTAGTATTAGTAGAAGTAGATCCAGCTTCTGCAGTGTCCGCGCAGCCGCAACCTAACCGTAACAAGTAACCTAAATAGTTCAATTGATCATTTCAGTCTAATAGATTCATGTATTGTCTTTTTTGAATATTCAATCGCAATTCGCAAAAATTGCAATCACATATTTTGCCGAAAACATGTAGCCGTACCGGTCTTACGTTGCAAATTTAGTTACGGTAAAATTGCTCTAATATTAGAATCTTCAGTAACGTGGATGATAATGACCTATATATGCGGTCACCACTTTAAATGTTAGCTGGAAGTATTGAAAAGACAATACTGATTCATTGTACTGTAGCATGAACAAAAGGAAATATAATGCAATCATTTCAGTGTTTGTCGGGAGTGGGCGCCTTTTCTGAGGGTGTGGTGTAAAGCAGGTCCGACCCGGTCCGACCACACAAGACCAAGCTTGATCAAACTTGTGCCACTTCTCTGAAATGCGGAATTTAATTTGGATTTCTTTATATTTTGCCGAGGGAACAAGCAAATGTGTCCTTTATTCATGCCACATAAAACCTTTTCATTTTTTTTTTTTATCCCACAATTGACATTAGCCCTCCATCTGAAACAGAATTCTTGAACACAAACACAACCTATTGACGTTCCCTTTTCCAGGCTCAAAAACTGTTGTGGAATTGTATTTATTTTTGTGAATGTAGAAGATTATTGTTTCTAGAAATAGATCAGAGTGTGTGTGTGTGTTTGTATGCAATATAAGTGAAAGTGTCAGGATTGTGGCGTGCGAATCCCGCGGGCCGTCAGAGGTCTGTGTCGCTCTGATTAGCTGTGGCTCCTAGTCCCCGCAGACTCACGGCCCGATCAAGTCTGCACCGCGGCTCCTCGCTGATAACCCCTCCTCTCCCCCTCCCAGTGGCCCACAGCGGCCCCTGAGTCTCAGAGTGAAAAACAACAGGGTTCCCAGGAGTCGCACCCACTCGGCTCGGTGGCACACGCAGCAGGGACCGTGAGCGAGGAAGGCTCCAAACACAAGCTCCTGGTGTGTGGAGTTGAATGTATTTGTGGACTGAGCCCTAAAATGTGTGTTTGAGTTTGCTGTAGCTTTGAGAGGCACTGACCAGAATGGGACGATACACTACTATTAAAGCTGGGATACCTAACTTTTTATATACAGTACAAGTGGTTTTTCCGCAACAGGAAAAGTTTTGCAAAATGTTGTGAACAAATCAGACTACCACATGCTCTCTTCATCTTATAAGAAAAGATTATTTTGAGAGCCTTGTGAGTCACTATTTAAGTATTTAGGCCCAGAGCAGATTGTATGAGCGACGGTGGATCTTCCCTCTCCACTTTTATGTCTGAAAAAGTTGCTCTAATGATGTGACTGAGGCTAAAAATACATGCATTTGAAAAATAGTGCACAAGGGCTTGGAATTATTTTGTTATTTTTAATTGTGTGGTTTGAAAGTACCATCTTGATGATATTTTTTCACTTTTTATGGATATGATTAGCCTGGTCGTACCACACCAAGGTTTGGATTTGCTCCATTGACTCCGTGAATAGGTGGGAGGGGCTAACTCCTTTTGCAGATTGAAACGATTGGATCTGAGTTTACTGTGACGTGTGCAGTGCGCCCGAGTCTGTTGTTAGCATTTAGCATTTAGCCTAGCCATCTCCTTTACTGCTAACAGAGCCCGTGGGGAGTAGCGCCACAATTTTTTCAGCGATTACATTTGCTAAACATTCCTCTTGCTCCGGCTTCAATTTCTTGATAGAACCAGACCAGATCACTTTACTATCGCATTTTTCCCCATTACCAAACTACAACCTTCCCGTTCAACGCAAACTCTTGACGTCATCCACAACTAACTACAACACCCGCCTCCCGCTGCTCTCTGATTGGTCGGTCGAAATTCAACCGATCGTAATCGCTAACACAGGGACCAGACCCAGACGTTACATGCAGTGAAATGACGACTGAGCGGAGAGTACAGATGGATAAGGCCAGGCTAGGATATGCTCACAATTTCTATTTTCTATCACATCACGCCACAAACAAAACAACAATGAATACACCATTAGAGTCATGTCGTTCTGTCCATATATAGCTGGAGTATAGTTAGGTACCTCAGCTTTAATACATAACTAGACATATACCTCATCTGCATACATTGTGGACTCACTTGTCAATTTTAATATACATACATTTTGGAATCGACCCATCTGCAATTTGCCGCTACACGATATTCACATTGATTACAGATCTGTTTTGGCTCCGCTCGGATCAGCGTGCTCTTTTGGCTGCCAGCTCTTGTTTAGCCCTGTCCCACTGGCCTCTATAGGGGGGGGGGACATGATGTGGCCTTCCCAGTTTAAGCAAGATAATGGAATAATGTGTTAATCCTCAGATGTGGTTGACAGCTAATCCAGGGGAATGTGCCCGGATTGCAGCGCTGGACTCACTCCCAGAACTGCTGCTGACGAGCTGGGCTTCTTGGCTTCACCCCGTGGATTGCTGAATGCGCTATGATAGCCACTCAGGCCCGTAGCATTCTCCCCTCACACACAAATATATATAGTAATATATGCAAATAAATACATCCAGTGGAAACCCGATGCCATCACACACGCCCGCCACACACACACAGCCTCTCGTCCTAACCTCATCAAAGTATTTTAAGTGCTCTCTTGTCGACTTAATTGTGGGAGTTATGTTTCTGTCTTTTCTTCTCCACGTTGCCTTTAATCATGTTTATTTTTTTAAGAGATTCTCACAGCTTATGTTGTGCTTTTTGTTCTCAAAATTGGCTGCTCCTCAAAAGAGCACTTTGTTAAGGTAATGTGTTTGATTATAAAACATGGTGTGTCTTCAGTAACGCAGAATGAATGATTAAAGAAATAGTTTTCTGTGATGAAGAAAGAGTCTGTTTTGAGAAGTTTGAACGGGCATTATTACGACGACACACACAGTAAATCCTACAACGTTAGAGTGAATGTCAGTTATTTTTATATTTGTGAAGAGACACCTAATTCCAATGCAAGCACCGGTTATACCCTTCCATTCTCACTCCAATTGCTTATGGAGTTAATTTAGAGGACATCACCTAAATATCAACTTTTCTCAGCTTTTGGCCATGTCATAGTTGTTTCTCCTTGTCACATACACACCATAGACTGTATATATTAACGGACGTAGTCACATCTATCTCCGCCGTTGTAACTAATGAGCTCTCCATGGAGTGATTCAAAATGGCAGCGGGGGCTGGAAAATGTGAAAAAACGCATCTGTGCATGCGTCAGCTGCACGAGCCCCGTTCATTTAAACGAGTGACTTCAAAAATTCACAGCGACTAAACTAGACTGGTCCAAAAAAATTCACCCCCCTCAGCATTGACACACATGTGGAACGGAGCTTTGGGCCAAGAACCAACTTTTGGACCATCCTGTAAAGGTGTTTTCCAGAGGTAAGAAGATGCTATATGTCAGCATTGGCTAATTCTTATTCCGGGTCCACCCCCACAGGCCCGGGGTGGTATTGCAGCATGTCAGCGCACGTCATTTTGGCCACTTTTGTGTCGGGACCCGCCCCCAGTGGTACACACTCAAAGCGGTTTTAAGTGCGATTCATACATCTTACACACGTATATCCTCATATACATGTGCCGCCATTGCTCTCCCCTCAGTCCTTTGGCTACCTTTTCTGAGTCCATTTCTTAGGCCTTTTTTGCTCTAACAGGGAGGAATAAAAACATTGGAACTTAGTCTGTGGAGGAGCAGCGCCTTACATTTCAAGTTTCCCTGTCGCTTGAGGACTTGAGTTCTTCTTGTTCCATAAATACAACAGCTACAGTTCTTGATTCATACATTCTAAAACTCAATCTAAACATTTCTCTTGAACCATATGTCTAATAGAGATCCACGGGGGTCATAGATATAAAATTTAATAGAGAACTTAGTTTGTTATCCCCTTTAATATCCACTTTAAATCCTTGATACATAGACAAGGCCTCATTGGTCCAACTCTTCTCTCCCAGAAAATCCGACTGGTGCAGCTGGTTATGCCAAGGAGAGGAACTGTAATCAATATCCTCTTTAAAAAAATACTTGCTTTATGTGATAATACATGGTCATAATGTGTTGTCTTAAAAATGAAATAGACATCAGCTTGTGAGACAGGCCTCGACCCTGGCAATGTTTAAGTCCAGGCTGAAAACTGTCTTATTCAGGTATGCATATGACTAATCTGAAGTATTTATTTTTTAAATGTTCGTAACTTTTAACTTTTTATTACAATATTTTATATGCATATACACTGTTTTAATGGGGTTTTTTTTTTTTTTTTTTTTTTTGCTTGTGAAGCACTTTGGGTTACACTGTATGAATTGTGCTTTATAAATAAATTTGATTTGATTGATTGATTGATCACCTTTTGATTTTGTCTTCCATGTTTTAGAAAGCATTGTGTTGTTTTCTCTACACACTACAGCGGTCATGACCCTGGACACATCTGTGGTCTGTGCCAATTCGGGTGAGCTGCCCATCGCCCCGGGACGCTCACAGATTTAGTGCAAGGCGTGCGTCACTCTATGAGGCCATTTCTCCTTGTGCCGTGTCGATGGGAATGGAGTCAATATGTTTTTCTATGTCCTGTCCTAAAGGGAAAAAGGCCGAGCTCGATTATTGAGAGAAAGACGCCAATCATGTTGCTATCATTTCTTACAATGTGACACTAATACTGTATATGGCAGGCACATAAAGTGAGATATATCAGGCCTTTATTTGTTATAACTCTGACAATAGCCTCACATCTGGGAAAACCCCAAACAAACAAAAGACAAAATCTGTCTCGTTTTGGTTTTATTCCAGCGTTTTCTGTTATTTTGCTGTGGTCTTTCTGAAGACAATTCAGATTATAATCTTTGTGTCTGGGGCCGCAAACATGTGCAAGTTCAGTTTGTATTAGTACTGTTGTATTAGTACTGTTGTATTAGTACTGTTGTATTAGTACTGTCGGATTGTTAATTAGTCTGATTGGTCCTTACTCTTTCACATTACTGTCTGAAAAATCCAAAGCCAAAAATACATACCTTTGAAAACTAGTGATAGAATCTGTTTTGAGAGAGAGGAAGTAAGCAGTTCATATGAGGAGTTGTATACTTCCAGACGTTGTATCTGATGTGACTCTTGGTTGTTGGTTGTGGCCTGGTCCACCATTGTGCGTCCTGGCGACAGTAACAGGTGGCAGGAGGGGAGGAGCTGCTCTCTGTAAACAACCGTTGAACCCTTTTGTGTTGGATCTGCATCACGCTGTGTTTGCTATGGCCTAATGCTAATCAAGATTTCACAGAGAAAAGTATACGCTGAGATATGGAGAAAAGACTATGTGCTTTCTCAAAGCTGGAGTAACCTTTTTCATACATAATGCTTGACCCAACAGAATCTGTAAAAGTATAATGTTATGAACAGACCACAACACGCTGTCTTCATCTTAGTAGAAAACATGTTATCTTTGTTAGAAAGTGAGTGCTGATTGGCTGAGTGAGGGTGGTCCTCTCTTGTTGTCTGAACAAGCTGATCTAAACATGTGACAGAGGCCAAACAGTTCTTAAATTGTCATAGAACTGTTTGGAAAGTAAAGTAACTAGATGTTTTACTTACCCCAGTTTTAAGTGTGATGTTAAGAATTATGACTAGAATAAGAGACTGTCATTAGAGTCTATCATTTTGCAATTAAATAGAAAGAGTAGTGTTATTTTATTTGAGAAATGGGCTCAGTGCAAGAAAATTACAATCTTTTTCTAGTTTGTTGGTCAATGGTTTTGTCCAGTTCTCAGAGAAAAAACAAAACCGAATGGCCTGTGTAGCTGCTTTTCCGCTTCATGTTACTCTTCTCTCTTCTCTTTCACTCATTCCCACTGGTTGTGTCTCCCTCCCACCTTTTTCCTTGGAGGAGATTGATTGGGTAATCTGGCTGGGTGCCAACAGTGGCCACTCTCTCTCTTCAGCTCT